GGAAAGAGTCCTAAGCCCCAGACACTCTCCCCTGACCTCTACCTCGCCCTTTGGCCTCATTGCTTCCTTTGATTTTAGTGGACTCTCCCGACATCAATTCTGACTGTCCCAAAGGGTGATATGACACTCAATGATTTCTGCAAATCGGAGACTGGCAAGCTGGGGTGAGTGCTGCCTGGGCAAGGGAAGGGTGTTGAGTGTGAATTCGGGGAGTTTTCCTCCTCCCTCTCTTCCCAGAGTATGATGAGATCAGCGTTCTCCAGTTGGGGGTTGGTGGGAATATCAGAATACGCAGCCACAGTATCTTCTTCCTGGTGGCTCTTGGTATGCCCAGTAAAGCTGAGCTGGAGCACAGACTCATCCGCAAAAGCAGCCACTTTCAGCCATACTGAAATGAATACGGTGAATGCCTGCTCTAGACTCTGAAGATAGTAGATCGTGGGTTAAGGTCTCAGCTACACAATGTCTCAGCCATTTCTTCCTCCCTCTGTTCCCTTCAGAAAACATGGCTCCTCCAAGGGAAGCATACCACTCTCTGGAGATGTGACCATGCCCAAGCCCACGAAGACCCAAGCTGGCCTTTCCCCTTTCCCCAGGAAACCCAGTTCCTCAAAGGACAGTGAGGACACCAGCAAAGAGCCCAGCCTCTCCACCCAGACGTTACCCTTGATCAAGTACTCTGGGCAGACTTCGAGGCTTTCTGCCTCCCCCACCTCCCAGTCAGCTGGTGACCCCCTCCTGGCTGCTGTGAGCCTGTGATGGGCCTGTCTCCACCAGCCCCTGCCCAGGCGCACCAGCATTAGCTACCTCATGGGAACCGGCCAACCGGCCAGCCTGAGCTCCCACCCCTCCACCTGGCCCCTCCTCAGAGTATTTTTTGAAGTGGCTGAGTTGTAGAGGGCGTGTCTGGCGGACTGGAGGGGGGGTGGGGAGGGGAACAAGGTGAGGAAGGTTCACTGGCTGGCACCTCATATCTCAGTGGAGAAGCCAATGATGGCCACTCAGCCTTATAAAGCAGGGTTTGGTTTCTACTTTTAGAGAGCCATGTGTGGTTTGTTTTAGGCCTTGGTGCAGTGACTGAGTTATGGCTCAAGAGGAGAAAACATACTCAACATATTTGGGCCCGAAGTCCCTTGCTCTCTATATAATTGAGGAGGTTCCTCTGAGGGTCCTTATTTCCTCAGGTCTCACCCTCCCGCCTCCCCAACCCCCTGTCCTGAGGAGTCACTTTCAGAAACCTTCAGACCTCCTCAGTAGATAAGCAGGCAGAGGCCATGACATGCTGAACCCATTTCCTATCGTCCTAGTCTTGGGGGCATCCCCACCTCCAGACCGTTTCTCGTTTCATATACCCACCCAGCCAGTAGCCCTAGGTCTTCCTATTCTGACCTCACATCACTACTTGTTCAACCTTCTAGACTTCTCTCTCATGGATGTTACCCCTTCAGCTCTTGTCTTCCTGTGAGGTGAGAGGTTTTAGGAACTTTGTGAATTTCCCATGGCTGCAGTAGAGGAGCCCGGATAATCCCACTTGCTGTTGCCTGTCATATATCAAAGGACGCAATCCAAGGAGAGGGTGGAAGGAGCTGTGGTTCCCCCTTCACGCTCTCTGGTGTTCGGGGTCTGGCTCACAGGTCGCTAGGGCATGCAGACTCTGGTGGCCTGGAGGGCGGGTTTCGGGAGCAGCCACCATTGTAGGATGGGCTTCCAGTCAGGCTCCTGACTAAACCTTGTACTCTGAACTGGATCTACCTCCCCAAGACTCAGTAAACAGTGAGTGTTCAATAGATGTTGACCACGTGAACGGTACGTACGGAGGTCTCACAGGACACAAACACCTAAACCAGAAGCTCTGCCTCTCTCTCTCCCGGGCCCAGGGGGAAGACAAGGTGGGAGGGTTTGGATCAGAAAGGTTGTTTTCACTTGAATGATGCTCCTCCTTAACATGGCTCCTCCTTAACATGGCACTTCCTGGTTGCTGCTCGCCCCCTCCCCAGCCCTACAATCCCTTTACTGCATTTCATTTTTCTATCAGTGGGGCCCAACAAGAAGCCAACTGGCTCCTTGACTCAGTTACCCAGGTTTTCCCTTTGGCGCATCAGGCAGGATGCTCTGCTCACGGTCTGACCCCGGGCTTTCTCTGCCTTCTTTCTTGAGCTTGGGAGAGATATCCTGCTTCGTGGCTCCAGGAGTTCTGTGGTGAGTTGGGAGGGAGCCCTGGAAAGATTGCTGAGAGGCCTGACTGCGTTCAAGGCCACACAGTTGATGTGTGAAGGCCATGTTGACAGTTGTGAAGAAAGCTTGATGGCAAAGTCCTGGGTCACTTCTGTGCAGTGGTAAGGACTTCAAAGTCAGGTCCGTAGGAGAGGTCCTTGACAGTCCTGTTAAATCTCTTCTGCTAGACTTGAAGCCAACTCCCTCTTGTTCTGCAAGAGTGGGTGCAATATTCTAGTGCAAATGTCAAACCTTGTGACGAGGGCAGGAAGCAGCATTCCTAGGAAAATTAGCCACCTGCTTAAGTAGTTTTGTTGTGGCTCATCCTCTGGTGCAAAGGCTTAGATGTGGAGGCCTGACTGAGCCGTGCCACTCCCTGGGAACCAGCTTCAGTACTTTGCCTTACGAGAACCCCCAGATGAACGGCACAACCATTCCCATCCCCGTAACTGGAGAAGGGACCACAGCATGATGGGAAGCAGGGGAGTGGGCTGTGGGGAAATTAAATGTGTGATGGAAGTAGAGTGTTCTTAGTAGCTTAAAACATGTTTATACTTTTAAAGTTTTCATCACCTTTGAGTATCTGATGTGTGTGTGTGTGTGTGTTGCTGGGTTGGAGAAAGGAATGAGCCTAATGTGTCATACTTCCCTTTCAGCCTTGAAAGAAAATGAAATCTTGCTTATTTAGAATTCAGCATACATACTTAACAATGCATACCCACAGTATAAGGTATTCAGCTAAATAAGGAATTTGGGGGAAGTAATGAGATTTTTGGGAAAGTTTAAATTTGAGGGTATAGTAGAGTAGATGTTTGTCAGAACATGTGAGTTTTTCCCTAACTTGATAATGTACCCAGTCCCTGTTTGGAGAAAGGGGAGCAAGTGCTCCTGAGTCAAGGAATGCAGTGTACAGGGTATTTCTGAAGCACTGGAGTAAGGATTTGGGGGTGGGGGGGGCAGAAGGAGGGTGGTTAACATTTCTGTTTACTTCAAATTCACTCAAGCTTGATCAGACACTAAGGAACTTAGAATGAATACTTAATGGAGAGGTGGCACGGGGATAAGAAAAGAGCGTGAACCTTGGAGTCTGACCTAGGGCTCAAATCTCAGTTCCTTTGTGTAGCCTTGGGCATGTCATCTAACTTTCTAAAGTTTTTAAATAATACGAATTTAATATCTACATTCTAAGGTTGTGAAAATTAAGTAAAACATAGTAAAAGCACTTAGGCCATAGGACTTAATGCATGGTTACTCCTTTCTCCATTTGCTATCTAAGCCCTGTTCCTTGGTTAGGGAAAGGCAGGCAAGAAATGTAAAACCCTTTCCACTAAGGAATGAGGCAGCTATAGAGACATTTTAGAAGTGAAGAAGGCCAGAACAGGGTTTGGCCTGGGTGATACCTCATCACCCCTACCTTCACCCTATCACCATTATTCATTCTACTGTTTCACACTTTGTTGGGGATTTATTTCTTTAGTTAAATATTTCACAGACAGAATGCAAATTAAAAGTATGTGAATTGGGCTTACTCAGTCCTATTCAGAGAGAAGCTTTGATAAGAAAGGGAGCGTAAGGGAGCAGTGGATGCCTGGGGGCTGGAGAGGGGAGGAGCAGGGCACAGAAAATAGAGACTTTGAACTGGAGCCAAAGAACATGCACCAACATAACAGCTGTGCCGAGGGACGCTTGTTGTTACAGGTACATTCTTATGATTTGAGGCTATTTAGTTGAGGGTGATTGTGCCTCCTGTGACTCTACCGAAAGGACACACCTTATTGCCCTTGGGACCATCCAACAGTGGGCCAGTGCAGGAGGTTGATAATCCAGGTGCACAGTCTGCTCTGCTTCCCTCCACAGCTGAATTAGTTACCCAAATAAGGTAGTCACCAAAGGTAGCCAGGGGACCTCCTCTCCTGGCTTCCTCTGGATTTGTCCTAAGACTAAGCTCTGTTTACAGTGTGGATTCCCCAACTCCCTTGAAACACTGATGGTTTTCAGAGGTGTGTAGTTGAGGGAGCTCCATTTCATGCCACTTGAACAACACTCGGTCATTTAGATCTCCTTGTAGCAGTTTGCACCCTTGTTAATGTCAGGCTCATTTGACTTGACTGTTCATCAGCTTTGGAGCATTGAGAGCTGCAAGCAGCCTTTATGTTGCTCTTGGCAGATTTCTCATAGGTGAAAGAATATGAGAAGGATCAATAGCAAGGTGGGTGTTTTCTGAAACCCACTTGTGCCTTATTATAATGGACTAAGACACATGGAATGCTACGGACTGTCATGGGGAAATCCAACACAATTTTGAAAAGATAATAATCTCTAAATCTCAACTAGTAAAATGAGGAGACGGGAGCTTACCTTGTAAGGTAGTTATGAGGGTTAAGGGGGGGCGGGCAGAATATACATAAAGCACCTAGTAAAGTGCCTGATACATATATAATGCAGACTAAAAAAAAAAAAAAAACAGTTAACACCACCAAAACCATTTTCATAAAGTAACAGTAACATACCGTGTAACACAGCATGTTACTATTATAATGGTACTATGATACTATTATAGTAGCATGTTGCTTTTACAAAACTATGACAAACATGGAACGGCAAACTGGTGATTTAATCAAGATAATTCATTAGAAAAATTGAAGCCCTTAACATTAGTTGTCAGAGAAGTGCGGTTAAAACTATAATGATACAGGCTGAGGAGCCAACGGGGAAAAGCTACCAACTGTGGGATTATGACTGAACCTCTAAATAAGATAAGGCAGAACCACAGGGCAGTCATGGCTAAGCCTCCTTGGCTGGTCCCGCAGTCCCTACTGCAGGCAGGCAGCCAAGTGCTTCCCTTTCTCCCCCGTGAGGCCCATAGCACACGCAGGGTGGGGGCCTGAGCTGAGAGCCTCTAGTTCAGAGAAAGGGGGGCTGCCTCCTTGCATGTCACACAAGGCACATTCCTGGGGAATCTGGTGTTAAACCATTCGTAGACAACCTGCTTCTGAGTCAGGGTTCTGTGCAGCTGAACAGCTCCCTTACTACAATCTATTGAAAGTCAGCCCTCAACATAAGTGTTTGGAGAAAAAGAAAAAGAAAAAAACTACAAGGAGACACCACTTACACAGCAGAATGGCTCAAATGAAAAAGGCTGAAACTACCAAGTGTCTGCAAACATGGAGCAGCTGGAACACATACATTGCTGGTGGGAATGCAAAATGGTACATTGGAAAATAGCTCAGTAGGTTCTTATGAAGTGAAATACACTCAACATATGACCCAGCAATTCACTCCTGCTTGCAAATGTTCACAGCAGTTTTATTCATAATAGCAAAACCCTGGAAACAACCCAAATATCCAACAACTAGTGAATGAATAAACAAATTGTGATATATCTGTTCAATACTACTTAGGTAAAAAAGAGGAATAAACTGACGTGTGCAACAATGTGGATGAATCTCAAGAGCATTATGCTGAGTGAAAGAAGCCAGAAACAAAAGACTACGTACTTTATGATTCCATTTATATAACATTCTAGAAAAGGCAAACTAGGGACAGAAAGCTTATCAGTGGTTGCTAAGGACTATAGATGACAGAGGGGAGGGACAGTTGAGGGGCAGGTTGGAAATATTCTATACCTTGATCGTGATGGTGGCCATACGACTATGTTTGTTGAAACTCATCGAATTATACACTTAAGATGGATGAATTTTCTTACAAGTAAATAAAGCTGACTTTAAAAAGGCCAAGGAGAGGGCTTCCCTGGTGGCGCAGTGGTTGAGAGTCCGCCTGCCGATGCAGGGGACACGGGTTCGTGCCCCAGTCC